TGTGAGACAGACAAAGTTCCTGGGACCCTCTTGTCCAGGACTTAATATGTAGTACACTGAAAACTGGAATATTAACAGGAATTGCATTTAATATCATGGCCATCCAACCTCTGTTTTTTCCTGAGACAACAGAAAGTAAGCTTATATAATATTTAATACTAACTCAGTGAAAGTAACTTTGCCTGGCAATTCCTGCTATTTTCAGATAACTTTGAAAGCTCATAAGGTACTAAAGGTAAATCCTCTTCCACCCATAGAGAAAACATTCCAGAGACTTACATGTATCGTGCGACCTCCCTCCCCACACAGATTGCTTGTAGAGGAGACATAGTCCAGGTATCTCATTGAACTGAGGAATTCTGAGCTGACAACAGTTGCAGAGGTGGCTCCCCAGATAGCGAGCCCCCTGGTTTGGCTCTCTGTCCTGCTGACCTGACCAGCCAGAGCTAGCACCCTCAGAGCAGTGTCCCACACTGAGAAGGTTCTAGAAACTGGTCAGAGAAATTCCCTGTTTCCCCAAAGGTTGGGGGAAGGGTCTGGAGGGGCTCCAGATACAGTCTGGAAGGACCGCTCTCCTCATCCCATTTTGACTGCTCAGACTGATAGTGTAGCATAGTCTCGGGAGCCAGGCTGCCTTCCACTTGTTTGACTCTGGGCAAGTTATTTGACCTCTCTGTGCCCCATTTCCTCATCTGTAAAGTGGGGATGATAATAGTACCCACCTCGTGGTTTTCTTGTAGGGGTTAAATGAATTAATACAGATGGTAATGCCTGGTATATAGTAAGCATTTAATAAATGCCCCTTCCTCTGAGCCACCATGTGCCCTCCTTAGAACAGAGTCCCCTCCTGGGGCCCTGAGTGCTTTCAGCGTTGGCTTGTGAGGTTTCTGTGCAGCTCAGCTCCTCTGCCAGACTGGGAGCTTTTCGAGGGCAGGTGGCAGGGATATCTTCCCTCCTGAACCCTTGACCGTGCTGCCCTGGCACTGCTCCATATGTGACCCTCCGCAAGCGTTTGTGGTTGGATGTCAGTAGAAGGAAGGGAACAGAAAGAAAGGGGACAGGGAGGAGGGTGTCTGAGGTGATGTGAGTAAACTACCAACCTGAAGCTGAGCTGTGAGCCTCCTCAGGTTGTGGCTGGGGAGGGCAGGGACCAGAGCCACCCCAGAGGTCTCGTCCTTTTGTGTTGGGGTCTGTCCTAGCTCCAGAAAGTCACCTTTCGTCCTCTGGGATGCACCGGTGTTTTAGTTCGGTGGTCAGTGAAGGCTTTTCAGCCACCTCATTTGCAGGGAACCAGACCCTGACTCAGCCACTCCCTGTTCACCCCTTCATCCAGGGCCAGGATCCTCTTCCTGCTCCAGCTGCTGGCAGACCATGTCCCTGGCGTTGGCCTGGTCACAAGTAAGTGTGGGTGGGATGGCGATTGTGGAGTGTTGTGGATCACATGCGTGGTCCATCTCCCTGTCTTCTCTCTGGCTCCTTGTAATTTGATTCTTGGCACAGTTGGGAGAGGGAGCCCCAGGTCAGGATTGGGTGGTTGACAACCCCCAGGCATGGGCCAGGGTGTCCCACAGAGCCAGGAGTGGCTAGAAGGAGGGTGTCCCATGGTGGGGGGATTGTTAGATGGCATCAGGCTGTCAGACTTCTTCGTGTCTTACTGTCCTGGACATCAGCTCATCTGGGTGGGGATTCTACAGCAGGGAAGAGGCCCTCTGGACTGTTTTGATGTCCCCCTCAGCAGAGAACCACAGGCCTGGCTTAGACAGCCTGGAACTGACTCAGCCCCGTAGGCACCTACAGCTAGGCAAGCCGTTTGGCTTCTCTGAGCCTCTAGGTCCTTGCCTGTAAATGTGGCCGGAGACCTCTGCCGATGCTGCCTCCCTAGGGGGAGAGAGGAGGGGAACCCACGCCCTGGCTGAGCGGGTGTGAGGAGCCGTGAGTGGGTGGCAGCGCCCAGAAGGGCCCGGGGAGGGCAGAGTGGGGACATGCCCTCAGCCTGACTTGCTCTTTTTGTTGCAGGGCCGCTCATGGATTACTTGCCCACCTGGCAGAAAATTTATTTCTACAGTTGGGGCTGACAGACACCCTTTCATGGGGTGCAGGGAGGGGTGGGGCAGCGTGCTCCACTGCTCTGGGCAGGGGGAGCCCTCAGCCCTTCAATCCCCCTTCCCTAATAAACCTGACTCTGGCAGTGACCAAGGATGTGGCCTCTCTCCATGCGCACTGCCCGGGGCACCTGGCACCTCCTCCCCAGCCAGACACTGCATACAGCCCTCGTCACTACCAGCATTCTTCCTAATGTCCTCCTGACTTGGACTGCACCTTCCTGTGATGGAGCCACTGCAGCCTCTGCCTTGTCACTGGGCCATGAAGTCTCCATCAGGATTGGGATCCAGGCTCCTGTAGCCACGGAGAGCTGTGATTTAACCTCATGAGCATGGGAAGCTGCTTGGCTTGGCAGCTGCGTGAGCAAGCTCTGTTCCTCTCTCACTCGTCCCTGGTGAAGACAAACAAGGCTGAATCCAGGCAATGGATGACAACTGCCCAGCGGTCTCTGGCCAGGGCCTCTGTCTGCTCCTCCCCCTGCAGGTCCCTGTGGCTCCGGCAGCCCCAGGCCATGGTGCCACCAGCCTCCCTGTGCTGGAGCCTAGTGAATGGTGAACCCTGCTCCAGTGCAGAGGCACCACAAGCCCTTTCTCCCCAGTTGAGAGTAAAAGGATTTCTCTCATGGGAAAGGGATGTCAGGCACCAGCCGGTTCTGGGGAGGGAACAGGAGCCTGAGGGGCCCTGGGAGAGAAAAGGTGACAGTTCAGGGGCTGTGAGCTACAGTCTCCCCAGACTTGCCCTGCCGATTCCCAGTGGGTCTGTGTGGGCTGCTATGGAGGGCAGAGGGTCTGGACTGTGTGGGCCATGGGTTGGTCTCTTTCTCCCTGACCTTTCACATCCTCAGCCACTGCCCCACTCCCTTTGCCCTGTGAAAGCCCGCCCCTTCTGCTGGAGTGTCGAGGGAGGGCTCTATCTGCACCTGCGTCCTCCATGCTTTGCCTCCTTCCAGACACCATGGGTGCAGAGCCTTGCCCCTGACATTGCCCTCTCAGTGCCTTGAGAAGCACTCCAGGTCCCAGACTGGGGTATGAATGCAGTGACCCCAGCAAAGGGCTGGCCTGTCTGTGAGCCTTGGAGCTCTGGCTCCCGTGACTTTCTGCTTAGTTTAACAAGTGCTCCGGGCACTTGCTGTGTAGCAGGCACTGAGCCATGTGCTGGGCAGTCAGACACGAAGGAGGCAGAGTTCCCTGTCCTCAAGCATGCAGGTTAATGGAGGAGACAGACCAGAAATGCACACACTTCCAGTGTACAGGAAGTGGTCGAGCTGGGCACAGGTCAGAGTGGTGACTGCCTGCCTGCAGTGATGCCTGGAGGTGGCCAAAGCCTGCCTTCGAGCAGATCTTGGAACACCACAGCTGCTTGTCAGTTTTCTGCCAGGCAGCCTAGCAGAGGTGGCTGTGTGCAGGAAACCGTGCACAGCAGCTGGCGGTGTGCAGCATAGTGAGGCAGAAGGCAGTGCAGGCGGGAGCATGTGGTAGGAGGCTGCAGAGGAAGGTTAGGGCCAAGTTGAAGGGGGCACCACATACCCAGGCAAGAAGCTAGGACCTGGTCTACGGTAGGCGGGGGGAAGGGATGTATATTCTTAAGCATCTTTCCAGCAGCCTCGTGGAGGATGGATTGGTGGGTGGGGATGGCAGCCAGACGTGGGGAAGAGACCTGCATGGTGGGAGGAGCCAGCTTAAGGCAGTGGCAGTGGGGATTGGGAGGTGAGGTGTAAACAAGCGGGCCTTGGGGACTGTTGTGGACAGTGAAGAAGAGTGTGGCATCCGGGAGGAGGGAGCATGAAGGACAAGGGGCTTTGGGGGTCTGGCAGGTTGTGCACAATTCCAGGTTCCTGGCAGGGTGAGCTTTGGTGGGGACACAGGATGCAGAGGCAGGTTTGGGGGAGAGGTGTTGTCTCCAGGACATGCAAAAGGAGGTGGTCATTGGGAAGTTAGCATGTGGGCTCAGAGCACACGGGAGTGGACTGGGCTGGAGGAAATGCCAGAACTTGTCAGCCTCAGGGGGATACTCGGGACCAGGAGCATGAGTGAGGCCACTCAAGGAGCCAAGGCTGGACATAAGGGACATCCCTCTCTGGGCCCTCTCAGCAGGTGAAGGAGGGGCTGGACCAGCCAGCAGTTCTGCTGTCTCAGAAGCAAGTGGGTTACCAAAGCTACCGGCCCTTGGCCTCAGCCCTCAGACCTGATACCACAGATCTGGAGTGGGGCCAGGGACATGTTTTTTAAAGCTGCCCACAAGTCTGAAGTGAACCAGGTTTGCACTGCATTAGTTAAGTGGCCTGGGCTGGGCTGTCCAGTAACAGCACCAGGAACCAGACCAAGAAAGCGCCTCCCAGAGGTGGACCACAGCCTTGCCTCAGACCTGCCAAGGACCATCATATGCATTTCTTCACTTGCATAGTTATTGAGCACCTACCTGGTGTCAAATGATGGGGCTTCCACAGTGAACAAAACTGTCCCCGACCTCCTGAAGCATATACTCTAGGGGATCAGGCGTGAAGCTTGTCCCTCACCGGGAAACCCTTCATCCGGCCTCAGGGGTGGTGGCAGGGTCTGTGGGGCCCTGGACAGACTGTTCTAAGCTACAGGGAGCAACGTGGGAAAGGCCCTGAGAGCAGATGTGGGGAGCCTGTGTGGCTCCCTCCCAGGGGACTGTGAGAGGGTCAGGGCTGACTCCTCCATGTTCATCAGCTGGCAGGACCTCCCCAGGACCACTGAGATGCCAGTGGGAGAGATGGGGATGGTGGTGGGGGCAGGAGGAAGGAGGGAGGAGGATGAGTGGGGAGTGGTTGGGGATCTGGGCGGTGAGGACTCAGTGACCACTGTGGAGGTCCTACTGTGTGCCAGACCTTGGGCACATTATGTACATTAGTTCACAGGTAAGGAAACTGAGACACACAGATTGACTTGTCTGGCTAGCAAGAGGCAAGGTTAGGATTTGAACTGAGATCTGATTTGAATTGAGATCTGACTCCAAAGTCCATGCCCTTAACCCTTTGGCAGTGACACTTGGTTTGGCACCTAGTGGCCTACAGTGTCAGTAAAATCAAACAAATGAAAAGCAAACCTCAGTGTGGAGGTTCTGGCCTAGTCCCAGAGCCAGTGCTGACACTGAACCCTGGAACTAATGCCCTTTGTGAGGTGGCCCTGGAAGGTGGCAGAAGGTTCCGTCCTACTGTCAGGGACAGGTGGGCGGAAACTGGGCCAGGAAGCTGTGTAGGAGATGGTTCTTGCAATGCTGGGGGCTCTGCAACCCAGGGCCAGCCTCAGCCTCTCCCTCCTCTGCCTTGTCCTGGCAGCTACACTCCTTCACCCGCAGCCCCTGAGGTAACTCCTGGGGGCCTGAAGGCCTGAGTGGTGCTGCTGCCCCAACCTCTCCCTTCCCCAGAGGAGAGGCTGACCCTGTTATCCTGGGCATTGGGAGTCTTGCGGAGGCCCCCATTCACAGGCAGGCAGCAGTGGCCTTTGGGGCCAGGGCTGAGCACCCCCATCTCCCACAGGTCTCAGCGCTCTGTTCCTGAGGAATTTTCGGCCCCCCTGCAAGTCCCACAGCCACTTTCCGGCCTGGTGGATGGTAGTGCCCCTCATCCCCACCCCTGCCCTCCCTTTGCCTCTCCCTGATGGTGGAGATGTGCCCTAAGAGAGGGCACCCAGGTCCAGCCTCAGTGTCTTCTTATCCCAACAGCACCTGTTCAAGGGTGACTTTAGTCCGATTCAAAACCAGCCTCTCCCTCCCACCCATACCCTCTTTTCTCTTCTTAGACTATGGGGTCCGCCCCAAGCACCCACGGCCACGGGGGCCCCGACCCCTCCTCTCCCAGGCCCAGCAGCGCAAGCGGGACGGACCAGACATGGCCGAGTATTACGACACATAACTGTTACGGGAACCCCTCTTAAAGCTATTCTGTGCAGCAAAGGCTTGGGCTTTCCTGGGATGTGGGACGGGGTCCGCGGAGATACACCCACTGCAGTCCAGACAGGAAATGGCACTTTAATAGTTGTGGCCAGGGTGACAGGACCAGGATGGGGCTGGCCTGGGCCAGTCAGGAAGCCGCCTTTTCCTGCCTGGGTGGGGCCCTGCTGCAGCTCTCCTTCCCCGTTGAGGTCCTAAGCCTGCCACGGGCCTGCATGCCGGTGAGGGTGGAGGTGTGAGCCATCCGGAGGTGTGAGCCATCCAGATGCCCCACAAATGACAGAGCTGAGGACAGGTACTGCACCTCCACCTGTTGCCATTTCCTTCCTGGAAAGTCCTCCGGAGGTGAGCTCAGGGCTCTTCCGTGGGGGTTGGGGATGCGGGCAAGGCGGGGGGGTACTTGTAGGTGGCTCCTTTATTAAGACAGGAGCTAAGAGCCAGAGAGCCAGAGCCCCTGGCAGGGGAAGTAAGGCCCAGGACAGAGCAGCCCCACCCCTCTCCCAGAGTCCTGACAGCCCAGAGTCCTTCACAGTCAGAGTCCTGACAGCCCAGCAGCCCTGCCCCTCCTGATCCCCGGGCAGCCCACTCTGTCCTCCATAGATGAACCTAATCCCATGTTACAATAAGCTGCATTTGCCTCTCCCCATAACCCCCACCCTCCCCCACCCTGGGCCAACGGCCCCCACTTCCCCATCCTGTGATGGTGGCGGGTGCCCCTTCAAGCAGTGCCACATCCTGCCAGCAGCCAGCTGTCCTGGCCCAGAACTGAGGGTGCAGAGGGCGGGGCAGCACTGCTATTCCAGGTAGATATCTTCTGTGGGGCAGGTGTACTCCACAAACTGCTTGTAGAACTGCTGAAACGCTCTCCTAGAAGGCAGGGGACACATGGTGACTGGGGAAGCCACCGGTCAAAGGAGGAACAGGATCTCAACCCAAGGTTTGGGTGGAGCTCTGGTTCCACTAGCTGGAGCCACTCAGCTCTGTTCGCTACCAAATTATTTCCCGAGAAAGACATCAATTGAAAGGGTTCTGCAGCTATCAAGCTTGGAAACCCCCCCTCGGGACCATCCAGCCCTCCCTCCAGGCCACTGCACTGGGGTCTGGAGGCGGTTTCCAGAGCTGCGGGGAGGACTGAGGGATGACACTGAGCACAGGGAAGAAGCTCTTGGGCCTGAGATTGGGGTCTGCTCCTTGGGCTGGGCACTGGGCCAGATACATGCATATACGTACCCCACGGATTCCGCCAGGGCTTTGGTGGAGTCTTCAGACACAAAGACGTGGCAGGCAAACCGGTGGTCAGCAGGATGCTTGGTGATGAACCCAAAGTACCTGGGGGAGGACACGTCTGGCTGTGATGGGACAGGGGCTCGGACTCACACCTACCCATAAGGTCTCCAGACCACCTAATGCCTTGAACTCTGTCCTGTCCCACTTACTTGTTGTTCTTTGGATGGTATCCACAAAAGGAGATGTTTTTTAACTGGAAAAAGTGGCTACATTTATTCCCCTACGGGAAGGAGAAGAGAAGCAAAAGGGTGGTCATCCAGCCCGCAGAGGTGCAGGCTGGCAGAAGGTGAACAGCTCTTCCTGGCAAACCCAGTGGGAGAGTTGGGGGTTTATGGAAGCAAGGCACCGGGTTGGGGGAACTCACCTTGGCCTCCTGGGAGTCATCGGCCTTGACACCTATCTTCACACCCTGCACGCTGATCTCTAGGACACAGCTGGAGGGTGGGTTAAAGTGCACGGTGAGCCGGCGGGTGGTGGCAATCTGTGGGTGCCATATGGGGACATATCAGGTGCTGTTCATTTCTACCGATCCCTCCTATCCCAGGGCCTGTGCCCGGAGGCCTTCACTGCCTCTAGACACTTGTGTCCCTTTCCCCAGGAGACAATGTGGACTGGGCTGGGGGTGGGTACCCATCCATGGAGGAGCAGAGATCCAGGTACCTTTTGCATAGCGGCACAGAGGACGTCATTGCCCTTGTGATAGGGAACCTGAACTGAGCCCAGGAACTTCACCCAGAACTGATCCACCCAGTCGCTGTTTTTGGCCAGGGCTGGAAAACAAATGAGAAGTGAGGAGGGGCAGAGCCAGAGGGAGTGGGCCGAGCAGCCACACGAAGGAGGGAGGGTGAGGCACGTGGGACGACAGAGCCAGCAGAGGGTGCCAAAATCCCCAGATGTTCCAACTTGGCCAGGCCTCACTTTCCTCAGTTGTGAAATAGACCTGAAATCACTTCTACTCAGCCCCCTCCCTTGCTGGCCAAGATCTGAAGTGTACATTCACCTGGCAACAAGTCAGAGCAGGGAGATGTGGGGGCTGGTGGCACCGAGCCAGGGAAGGAACACTACCTGCCATGTGGTCAGGCTCCTTGGTGACCTCAATGGCGTAGTAGGCAGGAAAGACACCCCGGGCGCCAGTGCGCATGTTGTAGGCCTCATACCAGTAGTCTTCAGCCTGCAGCTCCACCAGCAGAGGGTCGTCCACTTCCAGCTCAAGTTCGTCTTCATGTCGAGGCACAAACCTGTCCCCCAACAAGGGCATGTGAGGAATTTCTCACCAGGGCTTTTCCAGCCAAGCCCACACTGGGGCTGGGGAGTTGCATGACATCATTAGTTCAATAAAGACTTGCAAAGCATCCATGTGCCTGTCACAGTGCTAGTTCCTGGGGGAGACCAAGGTCAATCAGACACGCATCTGCTATCAAGGAACTCACGGGCCAAGGGAGGAAGTGGACAGAACCTTTGACAAAACTGAGAAGTCATGGGCAGTGAGCACATCTGGAGGAGGGTGGGGTGGAGGTGTGTGTGGGGTGTGTGTGTATGTGTGTGTGTGTGTGTGGGCATCCCTTCTGTTCGTGCTCCTGGGTGCCCTGCCCCTGCCCAGAGTAGGCTAGCAGTCCTCGGCTCCCTCACTGCACCACAGCACTGTCACCATCCCCTTTGTTGCCATCCTCTGAGTTCCTAGAAGGTACTCTGTCCTCCTGTGGCTGAGTGGATGAATGAATGCTGATGGCAGGTGTCAGGTTTAGGCCATGTGGTGATGGCAGAGGCAGGGAGGGGTGTGGCCCAAGCTGCTGCCTGGCCAGGCCTTGCCCAACCTGAGGGCTCTCACCTGAATATGGCCCGGTGGGTCTGCTCCTGTTCTTCCCCGTTGATGACACAGGAGAACAGCCCAAAGGACTCGGCACCTGTAGGTGAGGGGATGGGGCTGGAGGAGGGTGGTCTCAGCTCTGGTCGAGGTTTAGGGGGGCAGGTGGAGAGCTCTCTGTCCTAATAGTCCAACCAGATGGGGCCTGAAGCCACCTCCTAGGAACATCCCTCGTTTTGGCTCTCCCCACCCAGGAACCTCCCAACTGCTTGCCCCTTGCCGACTAACTGGACGAGCGAGAGCGGCCACTCATAAAGACGTTCAGGAACTTCTTGGAGAAGTGGACGTCGGGTTCATCAGGTGTCGAGTCCTCGGAGAGGCAGGCAGGAGGCCGGGGCCGGGGTGCCTCCTCATATTCCTCACCGATGGCCGACTCATAGGGCGAGGAGGCGGAGGCACAGTTGTCGTAGACAGTGGCTGAGTCACTCTCATCGCTGTAGTCTCCAAAGCATGGCCGCAGGCTCACCAGCTCCAGCTGTGCGTGCTCATCCACCACCAGCGTGTACTTGACCGAGTCGTAGGACAGGGCGCTGGTGTCCGAGCTCAGCGAGGCCCGTGGAGGTGGCGGCGGCTCCCCCAGGCTGCCCCGCCATCCTCCACCCAGTGGCTCAGCCCGCTCTGGGGATGACAGGCAGTCGAAGCCCTCATCCTCCTCACTGATGGAGGGGTGTGGCCGCCCTGCTGCTGAGGAGTAGGTGGTAGGGTCTGGATCGGAGCTGACTGACATCCGGCTCTCAGCAGGGGGCAAGAAGGCAGAGGTGGGCTCTACAGGGTCTGGGGGCCTCTGCACTGGTGTCAGGTAGATCTCCTCAGTGGCCTCTAGCCGCACGTCCGCCTGGTAGTGGATTCGGTCTCGATGTGAGTGGCCCCGGCCACCAGGTGGAGCAGCAGGGGGGCCACCTGGAGGCGCCATCTGGGTGGCAGCGCTGCGGCGGCAAGGGCTGTCGGTGGAGGTACCTCGATCCTTGGTGGAGGCAGGGCTGCTCTGGGGTGGCAGCTCATCACTCAGGCAGACGTGTTCATGTGGAGGTGTCTGTTCCCCTGGAGAGCAGGCAGGTCAGTGCTGAAGGCAGGGGCCCCCCACCCAAGACTCCCAGGCTACCTGCTCCCTCCACTCAGACTGTCAGTACAGAAACCAAGACAAAGCCTCCATGGGCAGTAGGCCCTCGGCAGGATCTGGAGCCAGTTAACTTGCTCATGCCACAGCTGACCGCAGCCCCCAGACGGGCTTGCACAGGGGTGCAGGACGGGCAGTTTACCTCTACTTGGCAAGCTGGAGACTGCTGGGTTTGCTCTCTGCAGGGAGGACTGAGTCAGGGCATGTAGAGGTCCAGGTAAAGTGAGAGGGTCCTGACTTACCTGTCTTCAGGGGTGAGGATGACCGGGACACCCGATCCTGCCAACTGTGCTTCTTGCCTAGAGAATTATTATTCAGCGTGTCCTGTGCAGGGAACAAAGGGCCCTTGTGACAAGAGTGGTCAGTAGTGCCCGGCACAGGGAGGCCCTGGCCCTACCCCCATCAGGCCACCCCTAGGCCATTTGCTACATCCACCCAGCCTCTACTTGCCAAGGGCCTCACTCCCAACCCTCCTCTGGAGCAGGCAGGAGGGGTGGCAAGCCACAGCCCTCCCAGCCAGGCCTGTTGGCTCTAGACCGTCCTCCCTCCTGGCTCAGGGAAGCTGGCCAAGCCTCAGGGAGATGCTCTTAGCCTCAACAAATGTGATGACAGCCAATGTGTGTAGTGGTGAGTCGGGGAGAAAGCAGGGGCAGAAGCAGGAGCTCTCTGGAGACTAAGTCGGACCCCCAGTCCCAGACATTGAGGGTTTACATGTAAGATGCTCAAATCCATCCCAAGTCAGAGAAAGGGTGACTCCCTGGCCTGGAGCTCAGGAAGCTATGGCCTAGAAAGGGCAGGGACATTCTTGTAGAGCCTGGAAAAAACACAAGGAAGGGTCTCCCCAAAAGCTGGCTTAGGAGACTGGGATGAATCATTCAAACAAAGAATCCCTAACATGATTTTCCCCCACCCCCTAGTACAATAGCACATGACTGTGGAATGACACATGTAGTTGTCAGTGGCCCACTTCCTGGTCTCCTGGGCTGCCCACCCCACATTCTCAGCCCCCTCCCAGGACCCCACTCCACGATGTCTACACACAAAGCTCCCTACACACAACTTAGGCTCCCTCTCCTGTGAACACCCTCGCAAGCCCTAACATTCATGAGTTGGGCTTCCAAAAGCCACTCCAGAGGATCCTGGGAAAGGGACTGACCCTTCCCTGCAGCCCCTGCACCATCCACCAGCAGCCCCACCTCCCCTGAGCTCCTTCTCTGTACCTCTCCTGATGGGGCCTGGAAGACAAAGGGCCACAGCCAGCTCTCCCCAACCCTATTCAACTCTCATTGGCATTTGGCCACCGCCCAGGGGCCCTGGGCCCCCAACTCAGCCAAGCAGTCCATCCTCATTTCTCTCTCCTGCCTTCTGGGAAGTCCCTGCTGCCCAGATTTCAAGCTGGCTGCTGCCCCTCAGCTCCCATCTCAACTCTCCACAATTTCCCCGCCCACCGCTTTTCTCCAGGCCCTGCTTCGGCCCCACCTTGACCAGGAATCCCATACCCTAAAGGGGAGACCCTGTCACAGCCTGAGGTCCCAATCTCCAACCTCCACCTCGTTCCCACCCCTCCAAGCCCGGTTCTCTCAATCCCCTACTTCTCTCCTTACCCCAGTCTTTCCGCTGTCCCTGTCGACCCCTCCTATACTTCAAGCCCTCCTCAAGGCTCCAAGCCCAGGCAGCTGGACTCAGCCCCTCTCCCTCAGGACAGATCTCCCTCCCCCTCAGCTCCGCCCCCCGCCGCTCGCGCCTCACCTGAGACCGCGGCACCTGCGGGAAGAGGTTGAGCGTGGTGGGCCGCTTGGGCCGGTACGTGTCCCCGCTGCCCGGGCCCTGGCCCTGGCCCTGGCCGCGGGGCGCCGGCTCCTGGCCGGGCTCGGGCTGGG